CCGGTTGTTAAATTATTTGAATCCCACCACTGGGTCTAAGACAACTCACTGGGACCAATTTGCTGTGGCCATCTTGCTATGACCAACCCATCATGGCCATCTTGCCATGGCTATCTCACTGTAGTCAACTCACCATGGAATAACTCACCAAAGAAAATTCCATGTGAAATAACTCATTGCAATAAATGTTATCCACCACTATTGACAAAAATGAAAATAATGTTGAAAAAATAGTGGCAGATATTTATCACATTGAGTTATACCACGTGAATTATCTGTGGTTTGATGTCCTGCAGTGAGTTGGCCACAGCAAAATGGCCATGACGAATCGTCCCATTCTGCTAATCATATAGATGTGGTAATAATGGTCTTGGATTCAAGATCAGTAAAAATAAAATAACAGTACAGCTTAGAATATTACTGCAGACATGTAGTCTTTGAGATGTATTTACATTCTGTAAATCCTAATTTTAATCTGCTTTAATATTTCTGGCACTTCATTTGGAAAGAATACCATACGACATACTACAGAAGACCTGCTTAGAAATTGCCTCTATGTCATTCAAAACATGATAATATAATTAAAGAGAAACTAACTCTACAAATTAAACATATGTTCAACATAACTGTCTTTCATATAGTTAAGACTATTTCATGAATCCATCCTTATTCTAATAATATCACTACCATTAACAAGCAAGTACAGCAATTACCACTGTTTCTTTTAAAGGATTTTGAATGGCATCAGAACTCTCCATTACACACATAAAGAAATGTAATCATGATAATGATCTAATCCACCTGGTAGATTTTTTTCTGTTTATTTGACTTGGAAATATATATGATCAGCATTCCCATAAGATACACTATTTCCATGCTGTGCCATTTCAGACTGTAGAAGTTTGTTTTATTTCATGACTTACTATATTTGTAGCCCATCTTTTCACAAAAATTACTGAACAATTATCTCAACCTATTTATAGATTAAGAGCAGCAGTAAAATTCTCAAGCATCAAAAAGAAATGGAATACATGAAGTAGCCAGCTTTTTGAAGATAAACAGATGTGAGTATAGTCTATACTTGGATGGAAGAATACCTGGGAATCTCATAATTTTGAATTCTCTGGTGGAAGACAGAAGAAATTTTACTATTTTAGTGTCCTTGTTACCTGTGCATTCCCAAGGCAGTTGACTGATTCAGTTCCCTACTGGGTTAGGATAATATTGTTCTTTAAAATAGAGTATGGTTGCTAATTCAACTGGTAGGCCAGGCCAGAACTTTTCCAGAATACTATGCAACTAATACGGGGACTCAGTGGCTCAGTGGCTAAGACGCTGAGCTTGTTGATCGAAAGGTCAGCAGTTCAGCGGTTTGAATCCCTAGTGCCGCATAACAGGGTGAGCTCCCATTACTTGTCCCAGGTTCTGCCAACCTAGCAGTTTGAAAGCACGTAAAAAATGCAAGTAGAAAAATAGGGACCACCTTTGGCATTTAATCAATCTGGCTACATGACCACGGAGACGTCTTTCGACAGTGCTGGCTCTTTGGCTTTGAAACGGAGATGAGCACTGCCCCCTAGAGTCAGGAACGTCTAGCACATATCTAGCACCTTTAATGCTATATAGAAGAGAAGAAAAGGAGGTAGTGGCAGTAGTAGACAAAATAGTTGATTCTAATACAAATATACTTTTAAGTTGCAATAACTCCATGGAATTCTCTACATAAATGCTGATAATTAAATTCCATGCTTTATTTGACAACACAATACTTAAATGTTTTTTTTTAAAATTTGATTTATATGCCGCCCTTCTCCGGAGACTCAGGGCGGCTTACAATGCGTTAAGCAATAGCCTTCATTCTTTTGTATATTTTTATACAAAGTCAGCTTATTGCCCCCACAAACTGGGTCCTCATTTCACCTACCTTAGAAAGGATGGAAGGCTGAGTCAACCTTGAGCCTTGGAGAGATTCGAACCAGCAGAAATTGCAGGCAGCTGTGTTAATAACAGGGTGCACTAAACCCCTGTACTATCATTCTAACAAATGTTAGAAATGAATGTGTTTTTCCAAGGAATATGATCAGCCTATGAAACTGCATTTCTTTTTACAGTAGTGTTCCTATCATTCAGTAAATAATTATGAAAGTTGTGGGATATTTTTGGCCTAGGTCAAGTACCCTTCAAGAAAAAAAACATGCTAATGTGAGGAAATTAGTACAATGTCAAATGTCAATGACTACACAATAGCTGTTGAATATATACTTACTAAGACTCTTCTGGGAAGAATTGACATAATTACATGCTCTTAGCAAAAATCGCAGTTGTTTGGTTTACTAGTAGCAATTTCAAAGTGAAGCATGGAAAGTGCAAACATTCTGGGATGAAAACTCTGTGTCTAGATTGATCATGGTATTAAAATCATTTCGTAAATTTACTTGCTGATTTGCTCTTCTAAACATTCCATACATGACAATTGCTTATTTTGGTGTGCCTTCTGCTTGTAAATAGCAGCAAATTCCCAGATGATTTTCAGTTTTGAAGGTGGATTTGATTATAAGAGATAATAGTCTTGGAACTCCACTCTGCTAGTTGACCATACTTAAATTTAGGACTAATTTTAAAGTTCAAAGGTGAAATGAAGTCACCTGGAAAGAAACCACTGATCAACAGTTCCAGCCTGCCAACTGTTTGTTTAGAATGACTTCTCAGGCAGGTTCAGAAATATTTATATTAGAAAGTTGATGCAATTCTTTGAAAAGGTGAGCTACTGCAATGACAATGGCCAAAACTAAGATAAAGCTATTTTATAGGTAAACTTTGGAAACACAGAATTGTTTCCTTGTTGCTGATACAGGTAAGAAACACAATTAGGGACAGATCATGATGGGAAAAAAATCTGTGTGGTCACTAATATTTGACAGCTTGATAGCACATAATGAAGAAAGAGAATAATGGTCATTAAATGGGCAGTAATCGGCAAAGGCAAGAAATAAAGCAGAAATATTCAGTCAGTCAAAATGAGTTCTTGGAATTTACTGACTCAAGAGAGGATAGCATTCTTTTGTTGTTAGTTGCGAAGTCATGTCTGACCCATCGCAACTCCATGGACAACGTTCCTCCAGGCCTTCCTGTCCTTTACCATCCTCTGGAGTCCATTTAAGCTCACGCCTACTGCTTCGGTGACTCCATCCAGCTGCCTCATTCTCTGTTGTCCCGTTCTTCTTTTGCCCTCAATCTTTTCCAGCATTAGGCTCTTCTCCAGTGACTCCTTCTTTCTCATTAGGTGGCCAAAGTATTTGAGTTTCATCTTCATGATCTGGCCTTCTAAAGAGCAGTCAGGGTTGATCTCCTCTAGGACTGACCGGTTTGGTCGCCTTGCAGTCCAAGGGACTCGCAGGAGTCTTCTCCAGCACCATAGTTCAAAGGCCTCAATTCTTTGGCGCTCAGCCTTTCTTATGGTCCAACTTTCACAGCCATATATTGCAACTGGGAAACCCATAGCCTTGATTATATGCACTTTTGTTGGCAGGGTGATGTCTCTGCTTTTTAGTATGGTGTCTAGATTTGCCATAGCTTTTCTCCCCAGGAGCAAGTGTCTTTTATTTTCTGATAGCATTCTAGTTCTACATTTTTATCTAAGGCCTAGCAGCCTGTGTCTTGACAATGGGCAATACAGATATTTCCTCCAAAACATTAATATTTCTTGGAAGAGAATTTAGAAACCTGACAGGGAGAAGTTTTTGCACATGCATTACTTCCAAAGTTAATTAGCATATGCATTTAGGTCTTTTGGCTGACCACAAGAAATATGGGCAGATAAAAAGAAGTATTCTGCCACAGTGCTCTCAAGCCTTTTCATTCTAAATTGTTGCTTTGTATCTCCATTTTGACATCCATCGTCACTTTCAATGTTGTTCCATTAGAACTGTACCGTAGATCAGGGTTTGGTAAAAATAAATCTTTTTTTGAATACCAGGAAGGATGTTTTTCTGTCTTTCTCTTTATATTTTCAAGCAGTTTTAATCATTTGGAGGTCAATAACCATCAAACACTGTTAATTTCCAACAAATTATCTAATCCAGATGGTTGAACAATTTGGATAAACACTGGACCCAATAGGATCATAAAATAAATAAGCATGAAACAGTTTAAGGTTTCAGCTCTCGGCTCACCTAACCTAGGACCTCTGCAAGCTTCCCATCTTTCCAAACAGGAAAATGTAAATATGGTAATATGTAGCACGTGTTTGCAACGGGATCAACTTTCTGCTAGCTTGCATGGTGAAAGCCCACACACATAACTGCCTCAAGGGAGGTAAACTTCATTTAGATTAATATGTTAATCATGAACCAGGCCTAGTCTTTTTTCCCCCCTACTCTGTTACAGCTACTCAAAAAATATGAATAAAGTAACAGGAAATAAGGTTGTTATTCAATAGAATTGGGTAGATTATTTTTACATCTCAGACAAGAAAATGATAAGAATGCTAGTAATTTAAAGGATGGGATATAATAATGTAATTTTTTAAACTGTTTGCAATTCAGAAATGGTTCAAAATAATTCATTTGAAATATATGCATCATCTGATTTTAATTTAGTTAATTTTTCTAGCTGGAATTTAAATTATAAATAAATAAATAAATAAATAAATAAATAAATAAATAAATAAATAAATTTGAACATTATTCTTTACTCAGCTGAAAGATTTTGCAGCATTGCAGTTACTTGACTGGTTATCTTTGTTACAGAGCATAATAAAATAGGAGGAAGTATTTTTATGTATGTTATCACAAAGTAAAATAATGTTCTTTTGTGTCATTGTACCAGACTGAGAATATGCTCCTATTTGCACTTATGTGTTTGTGTAACATGCATCAGGATGGGGTGCAAGTTATGTCAAATCAAGCCACAGTCAGGCAGGCTTTTGAATTTATTACAGTTTGAAAACATCTGTCAAGCCCTTTGTGCCCCAGTTGTTGTCCTTTAAGGAATCTGGTATCCTTTTATCTTATGGGATCACATGGCAGTTATTTTGAACAGTTAATGGTTTTCAGATGGGCAACTAGATCTTTGAAAATGCAATTTTCTGTATAACCATGGTAATAAAAAAACCAGCATAGCAACTGAAGAAGGGAAGCCAAAAGTTGACAAGATGGTTTGATGGGATTCATTTTTAATGGTATCTGTTGACCTGAAAACAAAGTAAGATCATTTTTTACTCATATTAACTTACTAATATATGAGGAGAAGGGAAAATAGCCAAAGGAAAATTCATCTCTTCTTTGCTTTGCCTGCTTAAAACAAGGCTGTATTTTAGCAAAATAAAATGTGTTTAATAATCTATCAATGAAGGATTTTTTTAAAAAATGACTTCCATTTTGATTGGAATGACAGAAGTTAAATAACATTCTCTCTCTCTCCTAAATGTGATATATCTATCTATCTATCTATCTATCTATCTATCTATCTATATCATGCATACATACATACATACATATCATACACACGCATACACACACACACACACACACACACACACACACACACACACAGACTCATTTGTTCAGCAGCCAATTCTTAATCAAAATGAACATAATGATGGAAACCCCCAGAAGTGCAGTGATAAGAGACACACTTTTTTTCCTCATTAGCATTCCTGTTATGAGGCCATCAACTGTTATGGGATGTTATCTTGAAACATTATTATTACATTTCTATCTTGCCTTTTTTATTACCACTAGCACTGTATTTTCATTTTTCCTTATAAAACCAAATGGCAGCAATTTATTTATAAGCAGCAAATGAAAGATACTATATGGCAATAATACAGCATCAGGGATTTAATCTCAAATCTATTCATATCTGCACAGAGATTTCTCTCTCTTTAATCTGTCTTTGGTCTGATTAAATGGTCTAAGAGGAAAAATCTAGGACTCTTTCTTATGGATGATACATGAAAGGAGGAAACTAAGTTTTTAAGTGTGTCCTATAGTTGACATCTAATTTTTTCAGCACTCTCACTTTTTTTTTGCTTTGTAGAAAATTTGGGAAATAAATAGCAGCCGGTTGAATTTTAGAACAAAAATTTGATAAAACTGTCATTCCATTTGTAGCCTTTTAAAATTTCTCTCTGAAATGCATTAGTCTGTGCTTTAATATAATTTCCCTCATTCATTGGGTTGATGAACATTCAGGATTTCTAAGCTTGTAATTATTATTTTTTTCAGTGGGTTTATCCCTTTTTTGAACTGCATGTTTGTTTATATCCAATTCCATATATCTTAGACAACATTTCTGGCAAAATATAGTCCTGTGGCAACCTCACAGTTGAATAGCGTGTCAATTAACACAATGACTCTAAGGTCACGTTCATTAACACTTAGAAATAAGGGCAGAACCACTTAAGTCCATGCATCCTACTACCATTCTACCGTGGTTTGTATCACAAGCCACTGAGACATCCAAGAAGGATCAACAGGATTATACTCCTGTTATCTCCAGATCATTCTTGTATGGAGTCATGTATAAAAATCAAACTTCAGATATAGCAGCTGCATGATTATCATGTGAATTGGGAAATTCTGCCAAGTAGTACCTTACTATGAATAGTTGGTCTGCTCAAACAGAAATACTCCTGAACAATGGGATAAGCAGTATATCACCAATATCTCTATTGTCTTTTTAGTTTCACTTCAAGTACTAATTCTGAAACTTCATAAGGTCTTCATAAGAAGAAATGTTTCTGTGGATAAGTGGTCCTCTAGTCTAGATTGATGTTAAATCCAATTGATCAAAGCAGGACTAAGACAATTCCAACTGGTCCATCCATCATGTGCTCAGCAGTTCTTCCACCCATAGTCCCAACTGGTAGTTGCTGGATTATGACTAAGCCATATCTAACAGAAGATTAAGTAATCAAATAAAAGATTGATTAGAAAAGATCAAACCCAAAACATTGAGAGAGATTTCAAGCATATACTCATAGCTATTTCTAACCTCCAATCCCACTTCTATTTTCAAAACAGCCATCATAGTAATATGATCCAACATGGTTTACTCTTTGATTGCCCACATACCTACTTTCCTTTCTATATATCCATTCCAGTGGGTCTCAAGGGGTAAATTAAAAAATATATTTAAAAAATAATAATCATGTGTTTCTATTTTTAAAAAATTAATCATGTGTTTCTTCATGATTAGATATAGATATAATTTCTGTTCTGATTTAATTTAGTTACTACTCACAGATTTAAAAAGTATGCTTAAACTATCCATCGGTTTGTTCACTTTTGAAGAAAAAATACAACCAATACAAGTTTCTGATCCAATTGGTAACATGTTCTGTACTGGAGCCCTACAGCTTCTTTTTTCTCAAGATAACTTTGCCTACCAAACATGCTTTTTTTAAAGTGTAAAAATATAATAATTTGTCTCAAACATTATTGCAGTCTTCCATGCATATATTCTTGATAGGCCTGGAGAATAAGTTGACATCCATAATATTTTTGTAGCATGTGATTGTCCTGCATGTACAGTATTCTCTGTGTATATTGTAACTAGTTACAATGCATGTTGTCCACTTCCTTCTAGATAGGTCACCAACACAAATGTTTTCCCTGTCCAATAGACAGACTGAATCCATCTTTCAGCAATTCGTGGTGGTCTCTAACCATCAACAAGCCAAAAAAACATTTCCTCCAAATATTTGCCTTAACCAGTTTCTTTACAGTGTGAAGAAATAAACCAGCTCTCCTTTCCATTGCCTGATTCCCTTGCCTGATTCTTCCACTCCAAAGGCTGTGCAGTTGCAATTAGAGCTATTCTCATTTAACTTTACTCTTCCCCCTACCCTTCACCCCTCCTCCTCCTCCTGTAATCTCCATTTCCCTTCAACGTGCATTATTTAGTTTGGGAATTATGTCTATTTACTCTGAGTGGAAGTTGTACAAAGGTTATGTTTATGGGAGAAAATTATATCACTGACAAACGCTGATTGGCGTGTGGATCTTGCTAGGCAAAACGGCAAAGGGTGTTTTCATCAACTTGGAATAACACAATGATTGTGTTTTCAGCAGAACTAAGTGTTCACATACTCCAGTGCTTTCTGATAGTTGTTTATACAAGACACAGTTTCCCAGATCCAGGAAAAAAAAAAACGAGAGAGAGATTAATCAAAAAAGCAAGAATAGCATTAACCATAACACATAAGCAGGAATTTTACTTTGGAATTTACGTTCTAAATTCTGTAGAAAAGTTGTGTTACTGGGATTATTCAAAGGGTCCTTGCAAGCATGGTGATTGCATTCTGCAGGTCCTCATTAGACTGGTGACAAGAATGAATCAGAAAATATTTATTTGTTTGCTTATTTGTTTGTTTTATTTCTCACTTCTTAGCTGCTCCTCTCCCTCAGAAATTATATTATTTGAAGCAAGAATTAAACTCTCATACTGAAAGTATCCCTATAAAATCTTTTTAAAGTAAATTAAATAGTCTTATTTTGTTAGCGATCAAGAGAAATCAGGTGATAGATTTACACAAAAAAAGTCATTATCAGTTTTTGGAATGATGAATTCAGGATAGAATAGATGTGTTTCAAATTATCATGGTGTTTTTGCTACTATTTATATTTACTATATGTTTGCTTCTCTAAATACTTAATATTATCCGTACTTTCCGCCGGGCCCTGAAGACTTTTCTATTTCAGCAAACCGGGCTGGCTTAAAATTTTTAACTGGTTAATTTTATGGGTAAGGGGTTTTAAATTGGGGAAGCCAAATTGATTTAATTATGTTTTAAATTATTTTAATTTTCATATTGTATGTATTTTAATCTTGGCTGTTCACCGCCCTGAGTCTTTCAGGAGAAGGGCGCTATAAAAATTTTAATAATAATAATAATAATAATAATAATAATAATAATATATTTATATCCCACCTTTTTTACTTTTTACAAATAACTCAGGGTGGTAAACATTCAACACACTTTCCTCTTCCACTTTCCCCACAACAACAACCCTGTGAGTGAACTGGGCTAAAAGAGAGTGATTAGCCCAAGATCTAATTAGCCCCTGCTGCTTTCATGACTTAAGGCAGGACTAGAACTCACAGTCTTCTACTTTCTAGCCTGGTACTTTAATCAAGCTACTTGTATCTCTTTTTTATTTTTATTGAACAATAAACCTATGCCTAGTGTGTGCCACTTACAGTCCGCAAGCCAAACACAATTTATGTATTTGCACTCTATTTTAGAATCACAAGCGATAGAGAGATACAGAAGTATTTAAATAGCCTGGATAATTAATTGGTTGCTAAACTTTATCAGGTCTGCAGTATCTATTCTGGAAGTATCTGAAATTCTAATCCCCTAGCAGAGTTGTTTGTGCATGGTTCATCATTCGATCCTTCTTCAATTAATTATTTAGCTTGTGGTTCTCATCTAAATCTCTGAACCATTTTCCTCAAAGGTAGTCATGTTTAAATGGATACTGGATTATATGAAGCTTTGCTGGAGGTCAATTAAATGGCAATACCTTATTCGCTTCCATTGAAATAAAAGCTGTAAAGGGAAACTACATAAAATCAGGCAGGCTCCAGGGCTTTATCTGGTCAAATCAGCAAAGGGATGATTTAAGTAAGATCTGTAGTATATACAGTAACATTTTGTCTATGACTGAAGACTTTCAGTTTTCACTCTATCTATCCCAGGGCAAACTGCTATAGGACTTCCCAGGGGGGAGGAAATGGAAGATATTCAGCCTTATCTTTAAAGAAGCAAACAAAAACCATAAGCAAGAGTGGCTTGTATTTAAATGATTTAACAGTAACTGTTTCAGTAGTGATATTATTCTATAAACCTAAAGAAGGGATAGTACAGATTTATTAAAAGTTGGGGGGGGGAAAGAAACAAAAACAGAGATAGGAGAAATTTCAAGAACATATGTAAAAATTATGTGGCAATGTTACCAGTTACTCTATGAATGCTATAATAAAATAGCCATGGCTATTACTGAATGCAGAAGGAACTTAATGGCACTCCATATTTCTTGTTCCTCTTTGTAAGATGTTACGCTGAAATGGCAGAATGGAATCAGTTGGGCACCCTTCCCTCAGGGTGTGTTTCTTCCTGCGTTCACTTTCTAACCTGCCCGCGGTTTATTTCTGTTTACTGTCTGGTGCGTACATCTCACCTCATAGGATTGTTGTGTGGGGAAACTGGAAGGAGGAAGGAATATTATGTAAGATCACCACTTTGATTTATTTATTAAAAAAATAATAAAGGTGGGTCATAAATAAATGAGTAAATAAAAACAAAATCCCTCTTTTTCACTACAACAGTCTCGTGAGGCAGGCTGGGTTGAAAGGGCAACTGGCCCAAAGTTACTTAGTAAATTCTATAACTGAGAGCAATTAACTTCCTGGGCGTCCTCAGAGCTGGTCCAACACCCTATCCCAGTGATGGTTAACCTTTTTGGTGCCAAGTGCCCAAAGCACACACGTGCGGGCAAACGCGCGTGGGTGTGACCAAATCCCCAAAATGCAATGTGAGCACACCCCTGTGCATGCACCCCACACATGTGCCCTGGCCCTCCGCGCCCCGTTTTGGTTTCCAGGTTGGTGCAGGAGGTCTTCCAGGCCCAAAACAGGGCATGTTCCCCGTTTTGGGTCTGAAAAGCCTCCTGCACCAACCTGAAAGCCAAAACGGGGCACGAGGGCGCCATGTGAGTTCCCCCCCTATCCCATGTTGGGCCTGGAAAGCCTCCTGCACCAACCTGCACCACCAACCTGCACCACCCCACGCATGTGGTCCTCCCCCCACACATGCACACGTGCATCCCTGCTTGTGCCCCACCCCCACGTATGCACGGCAGAGACTCAAGACCAGCTGGCCAGCAGGAGGCGCGCACGCATGCACAGTGGAGCTGGGCTGGAGCAACGGCTGGCGTGCCCACAGAGAAGTTCACCATCACTGTCCTATTCACTACACCACAGTGGCTCTCATGATTTCTCTGTCTAATCTATTTTAGGAGGAAAAAAAACAAAACAAATAAAGAAAACCCTCCCACTTCTCTAACTGAGAAGGATGGAAGAACTTTTAGGAAGGCAACATTTTTGAACTGTTTTATAATTAGAGGTGGGGTGTATGTGTGTGGGTTGTTGTTTTTTTTTGCCAAGAAAACAACATGAACAAAACTTACAGTATTTCTAGTTCAGCCTCTTTGCTCCCTGTTATTTCTAACTTTCCAGTCAAATGCTTTTATTAGATTGAAAACTTTCGCTGTTCATTTTCTTTTCTCTTTTAAATCTCAAGCAGTGTAATGTTCTACAATTATAAAACTGTCCCAGTGGCTCTGAAGTCTGGCAAAATAATATACTTTTTTTTTTCCTAAAGGGGGGGAGGGGAATGTCTGTGTATGTTGCCAATTAGTTTTGCTGTAAATACAGACCTCCATCCATCATCGGTCTCTGGGTGGCTATAACAGATCTAATTTGTTTCAGATGCCCTGCGCTTTCTGAGCTGTTCACCAACTCTGTTGACCTGCTGAGAGGACCAAAAGCTGCAGAAGAATGACTGACAAGGGAGAGCCTTCTCCGCCTATAGAATAGTCTGCCCTAACGGCACCGAGTGAGAATTAGAGGCCATTTCAGGAGATTTACTTGCTGTCCCCTTCTTTTTCAGCGGCTCGGTGCTTCAGAAAAGATTTGAAAGGTGTAAGGCTCTCATTAGGGAGGCTACAACATGGTAATGGAAAACCCACTCTCCCCGTCCCCCTCCCCCTTTTCCCTTTGCTTTTACAAGCCTTGCTTAAGACCTCCAGTTCCCTAGGAATTTTATGAATGCCTAGGAGCAGCCAAAATAAACTCGTAAAGGAAAAGTTTGGAGGAAAAAAAAGGTCACAGACCTGTACAGCAAGTGCTAAGCAAGAATTATTTGAAGGAAGAAAAAAGTGCAGGTCTGGAGTAGTGCAAGCCTGTGGCAACACATCAATTTTCTGACCAAAAGAAAAAAGAAAAAAAATCCATGAATGGGCATTTAGAAAAGGGATTCTCCTCCCACTTTCTACCAGTTTAAGCAGCCCACCTGGCTTTGCACCATTGGTAATGAAGCTTTACCACTAACTCTGAACCCAAGCCTTGTTTGTTTTTCAGCTTCTCCAGGGCTGAGTTTACACAGGCAGAAAATAAACTTGTTGGAAGCTCAGTATCTGACATGGCTCAGAGAATCCAGCCAGGAAGGCAGCATTTCTGGAGCTGAAACCTGAATTAAAGAGCAATCCCATCAGGTATTCACACAAGATCCTATTACAGTGGGAGGAGGGGAGAAATTCTGGGTATTGTTGAGTTAATAAACCAGTTAATGATTTATGAAAAGGTTCTGGAATATGTTCTGTTGATGCAAGCCGGGTGATTGTGTATCTTGTGATGATCTAGGATATGTTGGACGGTATGGATTGTCATTAAATTTTATTTAAAAATTCTAGAGAGGATTTCCAGGGTTCTCCTTTTTCTATCACTCAAGCAAAGCCGTAGATTTTTAAACCTGTACTTGAGCAAGGTTTTACATTTAAGAAGCAGAAAGGAGAAAAAGAATAAAATGCCCTCACTCCCAATCACGTGAACCGGTAGCAGGAGGCTCTGCCCACCCGCCTAGATGTCATCACAGACTGTCTGCACATGCGCAGAAGGTTCTGCATATGCGTAGAAACGCTGTGTGTGCGCGGTCACGTTTGCGAACTGCTAGCGAAGGTAAGTGGAACCCACCACTGCCCCAATCTCTCCCCCAAATTATAAATCACTCTCCTAAATCATCCCCCAAATATTTTATACTCTGGAAGTGATAAGACCAGCCACAACCTATATGCAAGATAATAATTCTGCTATTGTTCACATGATTGTTTATGCCAGCAGAAAAGAGTGTTAAGTCACTGCCTTTGCTTCGGAAGTATTGGCTCTCGTTCAAGCCTCTAGTTTAGCCCTGAATGCATCAGCATAAATGATTGTATAAACAGGACTGTGTTAACACTTGCCAATGAGGATTCTGCCAAATGTTAATTTGAAGCCTCAGTGAAGACGCCTACTGCTGATGCCTCTTACCGCAGACCAGAGGACTTTGTAGAACTCACTGCTGCTCGGTAAGTGGATGGGTGGATGTGCCTGCCCCCTTTTCTCTTCTCCTCCTTGGCCTGTGTTATACATGGATAATGTCAGAAGTCAGCCTCATTGAATATCTCATAAGACCCATGTCTGTCTAGGGACTCAGCCAGTATTCACAGTCAGATAGTATTTCTTTTTTGCTATCACTGTAGCTTCCCTGCTCTCAATATGCATGCATATTTAGCAAGTAGACAGAAGGAGAAAGTTGGTATGGCTTAAGGAAAACAAGGGGAACTTACTTTGTCCAAGTGGATTCCAAGAGTTTGGAGCAGAGATGTGTTGATTGATATACTCTGTTAAATCAGGCACTGCACAAAATTCCATGGATGTCCATGGCATTTACCCAACTGGGTTATTGTAGCTGCTACAGATTCCATCCCAATCCTGGGACACTGGTTTATAGATTTTATCACCAATCTTTCCTGATTGTGCAGATATACAAGTATACTGGTAGTATACCCCTCATTTACGACCTTATTCAGGAGGGGGGAGCGGATCTGGCGAGTATTACGGAGACCTGGTTGGGCCCAGAAGGGGGGGGGTGCCCCTGGTTGAAATGTGCCCACCAGGTTTCCGGGCATTTCATCAGCCAAGGGCCCAGGGTAGGGGCGGGGAGGTAGCAGTTATTATTAAAGAAAGTCTATGTCCGAGGGAGACCACTGTACCACAGATAGCCGGATGTGAGTCCCTCCTTGTGAAGTGGGGTCGTGGGGCGCAGATGGGCCTGCTGATTACCTACCTGGCTCCCTGCTGTGTGGCAGCGGCCCTGCCCGAGCTGCCTGACGTAGCCGGGGTGGCGGTTGATACCCCCAGGCTTATGGTCATGGAGGATTTCAACTTGCTATCTGTCGGCGAAACGTCTATGGCAGCTCGGGAGTTCTTGGCTTCCATGATGGCCTTGGACCTGACCCAATTAGTTCAAGGCCCTACTCTGGACTTGATTTTTGTCTCTGGTCAGTGACAGAGTGATCTAGAAATAGGGGATTTAGTCATCAAGCCCTTGTCATGGTCTGATCACTCCCTCCTTCGCATGGACTTTTGAACCGCTACACCTCGCCGCAGGGAGACAGAACCGACTAGGTGGTTCCTTCCCAGGCGCCTGATGGACCCGGATAGGTTCCTGACAGAGCTTGGGCCATTCTCTGAGGCTCTGGCTCACGGCGCGATGGAAGAACTGGTGGCCGCCTGGGATAGGGCGGCCGCCAGAGCTCTGGATTGTGTCATGCCTTTGTGGCCTCTGACCCGGTGCCGATCTCATCTGGCTCCCTGGTTTTCCGAGGAGCTGAGAGAGATGAAGCGCCAGAAAAGACACCTGGAGAGTGATTGGAGGACCAGTCGCTCCGAATCTGACCGAACACTGGTGAGGTCTCATATTAAGACCTACCTAGTGGCGATAAAAGTGGCAAAATTTAATTATTTTTCTGCTCTTATCGGGTCTGCAGAGAACTGCCCAGTAGCCCTGTTTAGGGTGACCCGCTCCCTCCTTCATCTGGGAACGAGGGAAGACCCCTTGCAGGGCAGGGCTGAGGATTTTGTGCAATTCCTGCATGACAAAGTCACTCAGATACGGGAAGGTCTGGACTCTGATTGGGTAGATCTGGATGGGATGATGGAGGGGGGTCTTGAGAATGTTATCTGGGAGGGATTTGACCTTGTGACTCCCGAGGACGTGGACAGGATTCTGGGGAGGCTTAGTGCCACATGTTTATTGGATCCGTGTCCCTCCTGGTTGGTGCTGGCCTCCCAGGAGGTTACACGAGGCTGGCTCCAGGGGATTATTAATGCTTCTTTGAGCGAGGGTTACTTCCCCCCCTCTTTGAAAGAGGCAGTGGTGAGGCCCCTCCTCAAGAAGCCCTCCCTGGACCCGGCTGTATTAGCGAATTATCGCCCAGTCTCCAACCTTAGCTTTGTGACGAAGGTTGTTGAGAGTGTGGTGGCGCGACAACTTCCCCAGTGCCTGGATGAAGCCGATTATCTAGATCCATTCCAGTCGGGCTTCAGGCCAGGGCACAGCACGGGAACGGCATTGGTCGCATTGGTTGATGATCTCTAGAGGGCTCGGGATAGGGGTTGCTCCTCTGTCCTGGTCCTATTAGATCTCTCAGCGGCTTTTGATACCATCGACCATGGTATCATGCTGCGACAATTGGAGGGTTTGGGAGTGGGGGCACCGTGTTGCGCTGGTTCTCCTCCTTCCTCTCCGACCGTGTGCAGTTTGTGTTGGCAGGGGGGCAGAGGTCGACTTGAGGCGCCTTGTATGTGGGTGCCGCAAGGGTCAGTCCTCTCGCCCCTTCTGTTCAACATTTATGTGAAGCCACTGGGCGAGATCATCCGTGGTTTCGGGGTGAGGCTCCACCAGTACGCTGACGATACTCAGCTGTACATCTCCACCCCCGGACCACCCCAATTATGCCCTTAACGTGATGTCCCAGTGCCTGGAGGCCGTGCGGATCTGGATGGGGAGAAACAAGCTCAAACTCAACCCCTCCAAGACTGAGTGGCTGTGGCTCCCGACGTCCCGGTATAGTCAGCTGGTCCCATCGCTGACTATTGGGGGCAAGACCTTGGCCCCCTCAGAGAGGGCTCGCAACTTGGGTGTTCTCCTGGATGCACGGCTGTCTTTGGAAGATCACCTGATGCACCAGTTGCGTCCCTTTCTGAACTGGGATGCCCTGCGCACGGTCACTCATGCCCTCATCACGTCCCGTCTGGACTACTGCAACGCTCTCTACGTGGGGCTCTCCTTGAAGAGCACTCAGAGGCTCCAACTGGTCCAGAATGTGGCCGTGCGGGTGGTTATGGGTGCGACTCGGCGCACCCACGTAACACCTCTCCTGCACGAGCTGCACTGGCTCCTGGTGCAATTCAAGGTGTTGGTCACCACCTTTAAAGTGCTCCATGGCTTAGGACCAGGGTATATACGAGACCGCCTTCTGCCATCAACAACCTCCCACCGGCCAATACGCTCCCACAGAGAGGGGCTCCTCAGGATGCTGTCAGCCAAACAATGCCGACTGGCGACACCCATGGGGAGACCCTTCTCTGTGGAGGCACCAGCCCTCTGGAATGAGCTGTCCCTAGAGTTTTGTCTTAGCCCCGACCTGCATACTTTTCGCCGCACCCTTAAGACCCTTCTGTTCCAGCAAGCCGGACTGGCCTAGTATGAATTTTAAAATTGGGTGTATTTGTGTTTTAATTTGCTGGCCAAATTTTATATTTGATTTTAATTGGTTTTAAATTTTATAAATCTATGTGTTTTAATATGGCTGTACACCACCCTGAGTCCTTTGGGAGAAGGGCGGTATAGAAATCTAATAAACTTGAAACTTAGTGGATTTATTTACCAAAGTGGCTCATTTTATTCCTTGGAAAGGACTCCCAATGTCTTAGGGAAGAGCTCAGCTATTTTTGGATTTTTTTTTTTCTTTAGATGTGATCTCAGATCTTCATTTCCAAATTTTGGAAGGATTCCTTACACTCATTAAAATTCATTCTTCCTCGCAGCATCCAGAAACTAACAGAGAATCTGAGAAGGATAACCAACTGTTGCCGCAATATTTGAAATGCAAGGCAATTGGACTGATCTCGTATCTCTTGCTGAATTTGCCTACAACAGTGCAGCATACGTCTCTGTCTGTAGGTCCCTATTTCAGACAAGAATGAAATAAAATTACAGAAGGGAATTTGGTGTGGCTTTCTACTTTTTTGACACCTTCCAAGAAACTAGGCTCAACATTTATTGATCCTTTTCCGGGAAGCTTGGTGGGCGTGGCATTGCTTGGTGGGCGTGGCTTGGTGGGTGTAGCAGGGAAATGATACTGTAAAATCTCCATTCCCACCCCACTCCAGGGGAAGGATACTGTAAAATCTCCATTTCCTCCCCCCTCCAGGGGAAGGTTACTACAAAATCCCCATTTCCTCCCGATCAGCTGGGACTTGGGAGGCAGAAAATAGATGGGGGCGGGGACAGTCAGGTGGTATTTATTGGTTCTCTGAACTACTCAAAATTTCTGCTACCAGTTCTCCAGAATTGGTCAGAACCTGCTGAAACCCACATCTGCCTCCATCCCATAAAAGAATCTCTTCTATTCATTTTGGTAAGTGCCAAATTCCTGCATTGATAGTTGTTGAGGATGGGATTTGTTAGGGTATTTGGTCATGAAATTAATGCACAAATTGCAGTGCTTGCATGTCCATTACTGTCTCCCATGACCTGACTCTGGGTAGCCACACCCACAGAACCAGTAATAAACAATTTTGAAATCCACCACTGGATGGAGGGCACCTTGGGGATAGCAAGAGACCAAGAAAGGGGCATGGGAAATTACCCATGTCCTTCCACAATAGAAGAAGAAGCTTCTTGGATGAGAAGTGAAACATCTTCAAAGAAAAGTCAGAAAGTGCAGTTGCCTCTTGAAAAAGCACCTTTGGGACAACCATGACCTGGATGACTGAGAATCTCCATAGACACTTATTTGCAGAGAACACTTCAGTGCTTGTTGAACTCATATATTTATTAATTCACACCCAACTATTCCATTTCATAGTGCCATATAAAGTTCATCTTCTGACTCTGTTCATAGTCACCTGAGGAATAGTGAAGAAAGAGAAGTTGGTCTAAAGTTCTCCAATGTGTTTTATGAGAAAAATCAAGATTTCATACTTTGGATTATACAAACTTTCCATAGGGAGGAGCATTTGATCTACCACTCTGTCAGGCTCCTTGGTGAACCAGTCCTTAAATCCTCTATTTTAATGATTCCCTGCTGCTAGATTATAATCCCCTGAGCACCCCTTGAATCGCTAATGTTTTCCTACTGGAAAATACTGTATCTGGCACATTCCTAAATTCTAGTCCAGGGTACTTCTAATGAATTAGCATTCCTTGTGGGAGGAAGGATGAAAAATACAATCCTGTACATCTATGCCTCCTAGTTTATTTTCATCGTGTTGGGAGGGAGCGACATTCACTTCAAGCCATATGGGGAGCTTTGACAAACATATAAAAGTGGTAGTGTGGGGCATTCTGCCATGGGAATTCACCCCCTGCAATTTGTAGCAGTCACAAAGTAGCCCCTTTTCTTCCACACATTATTCTGTCAACATTGTATTTTTGTTGGAAAGCCATCTACAATAGTTATCATCTCTTTACTGAAAAGAAATAGACTGCAGGTGCTGTAGAGTTCATCCACGGGATATGAGGAGTTTAAACGTCCCCAAGAAAGGAAAATTTATGTCAGTAATGACTAATTGCTTGGCTTCCATTCCTTATATATATATATATGTATATATTGCAAGTTTGCTTCTATCCACTATTGCTGTTCCTTTAAAAAAAAAAAAACCTCATGCATATCCTCTATTCATTTATGTTGACTATCTCTAATCTTTCTTACCATTTCTTGTTTTTATTAATCTCATTTTTCTTTTTTAATCTCATTTTGGTTTTTTTGTAAATTGCCTATTTATTTCATGCAGTTAAGCAAAGACTAAAAGGATATGGAATTATTTGGAAAATAAAAGCTGAAGTTAATTATCCAACCTGAAACCACTAATCTTTGTGGCTGCTATTGAAAGACAGACTTTCTGCATTCATGTCAAATAAATGTATCCTATACATACCAGTGAGCTGGGTGTATAATGTTATCGCAAATCATAAATTTGTTGCTTTTCTTTTAACAGCTAGTGTAGGTAGCAGCCATTTCAGGCTGGGTCTCTCAGCAGAAGCCCCCCCCCCCAACCTTTTGCGTGCCAGGAACCGGTTTCATAGAGAGCGTTTTTTCCATGAACTAGGAGGGCGGACATGGTTTTGCACGCTATCTGGATCCCGTGCTTTCATGGATGGGGTCACTTGCACAGCCCAGTTCCAGGTGGGCCCCGGACCAGTGCCAGTCCATGGACTGGGGATTGGATACCCCTATCCTAAAAAGCCTGCTGGCTTTGGTTGGAGAATATGGAGAGGATCACCTTGAGAAAACTACAGATATGCTTAATAGGCCCATAATACAACTTAAAAAGTACCGGTATGTTTATGGCAGTGGTGAAATTCAGTCGGCTCTATCCAGATCGCGCGATCGAGTAGTGCTGGTGGCGGGAGGTTCTGCCCACCCACCTAGGCGTCATCACATCCCGTTTTTGACCCCCTGTGCATGCGCAGAAGGCTCTGCACATGCGTGGAGGAGGCGCAAGCGTACTGAGCATGTGCGTGCGCTCGCATTTGCGAACCAGTAGTGAAGGTAAGTGAATACCACGCTTGGTTTATGGGTTTATTGTTCAAGCTAACTTTTTTCCTGAGGTAAGCAACAGCTTGGAGGACCACAGCACAGGGATGCTGAGGGAGATAACCTCTCCCTTTGTAGCTGCTGACTTTCCTGGTTTCCCTTTCTAACCCTTCCCTAAGTATTTGTTTGTATAAGTCATACCTACAAAATGCAATCATGCTCTAACTACAGTAGGAATTGTCCGGAGTTTAACAGACCATTACCTAAAATTTATTTTTGTTAGTAGTGACATTTGCAAATCCAATCCTTTTTTCTCTGAGTAACAAGAACATCGCTAAATTTATTTCTCAAGAGCAAAGATATAGAAGCCCAGCATTTGTTTATATTACTTTATTGCTATTTATTACAATTTTTCTATTACTTTACTACCGTTACATTTCCACTTCTTTTCATTTCTCCATGTTTATTGTTGTAAATCACCCAGAGTAGTCCCACAGCGAGATAGGGAGCAAATAAATTTAACAAATATGCAAAGTCAGGTTAGGAAAGTGTTAGAAAGCGAGAAACTATAGTAAAAGCAATACTGAACTGGTGTGCTGACTAAATACAAAGCAGCATTTCTGCAAATTAGGTCTGCAACATCAATCTGTTAAACACTTAAAATCACATTACTAAATTTCCTTTAACGGTGCAAATTGGTTTGGATTACATGTGCCCAGATTGGTACTATAAAGACACTTTAAGCAAATAATTTTGAACTTTCAGGAAGGGCAGCTGAGGGCTGTTGGATCTCACAAATCTCACAGGTAGAAAAGTCTCCTATGGGGTCCTCTCTTTGGGGTGGAAATGCTTCCCATTAACATATCAATTTGAGAAAAACTGACATGCTGGACATTTTGATTGAGCTTAATTGAGAAGGAATTAGAAAGTACAAGGGGAAATTACAAAGTATGAAGAAAGTTAATAGATGTCATAGATTACAGACATTTCTTTAAAACAGCATTTTGTTGCCTCATGTAGGAAGAATGCCTTTTCTGAAATATGTCCTCTAAAAACAAAATATGTTTCTTGCTTTCATGAACAAAAGAAACAATTAAGGTTAATGATTGTTTAAAATGCATTTAATCAGATAGTATTCCTCCCTCTTTCATCGTCTTCATTGTCATCATCATTTGTCTTCTTTGAGTTGACCTAAAACTCCTAATGACTTCATGGACAAAACTGTTACCTTTCTTCAAACCAATATATGGTAGTTTCCCATGCTATACTGCAGAGTGTCTGTCTGTGTGTATTTGTGTCCTCTAATAGGATGTGTCCCAATAATTGTCTATGATTAGGGGTGTACTACAGCAGGAGTTTTTTTCTAATCCTGGGTACCCACTGTATGTTATACATATCCTCTATTACTGAAATATTTCTTGAGGTATCAAGCAGAATTTCGGCATTTCCACACAAAATTGCCCAAATGCCATGGGAATTTGCAGGGATACATCTTGGGAGTCCTAGAAAATATCCTATTGTTAATTCCTAACTTAGGAAAGTTGGAAGAACTCTGTGGCCCTTCAGAACTTGCACTAAAACTTCAAAGATTTCTCATGCTAGCTGGAGAAGTCGTGACTGGAGACAACCAACATTTAAGGACCACCCCTCTTGTACAGTTTTATGAAATGGAGACCACCAAATAGCATTATTAATGTTGTCAGCCTAAGCTGCAAACCTAAATACATTTCAGATGACAGACTAAATCATACCTTCCTTCCTCCCAACACAAAAGTATATTCAGAACAACTTAAAATAAATAGGGAAAATATAATAAAATATAGAATCATAAATGAAAGCCAAGGGTGAAATTATAAAAAAGTGGTTTTGTAGAGCCGAAGAACTAAAAGCTCCACTATAATTTTATTAAGGCCACAAGACTCTCTTGTTTGCTCCAACATTCATATTCTCCCAAAATGGTTCCTTTTAAGTGGTAAAATCCACAATGCTCCCAAATGTGTAATACTGCTGTTAAGCAGTAAACCTAAGAACACATATGTAGGACTGCTGTCCATTGAATGCAGAGCAACATTTTAGTAAACATGCAAAGGAACTGTACTTTAGAATGTCTTACTCTTGATATCCTGGAAAGACTATATGCCACCATCAATCACCTACCTCTTATGACCTTTAATGCAGTTGTCGAGTTGATTTGCTGTACCTCCTCTTGAACTGGGGAGAATATGTTTGTAGCTGGCAGTGTGTTAAGCTCTTTAACCTTACTTCACTCTTTCAAATGAACATCACTTTTTAAAAAATCCAAATAGCTTCTAATAAGCTTCTATTCAGGTTTCATAACAAATAAATCAAGAGAATACTCCCTCTGGTAAATTAATAGCCAGACAAGACAGCAACAAGGGAATCACTGTAAATTATAAGGGGGAAGGGAAAGAATGATTCGGGAACACAAGGTCTCCATATGTCTC